TGTGTGTGTGTGTGTGTGTGTGTGTGTGTGTGTGTATGTGTGTTCGCACTTTTTGTCACTTACTTTCAACTGGAGAACCAGAAAGCTAGGAGGCTGTAACTTCGGGAGTATGTATCAACACCTTGTGCCGTTTTGATATCATCACCCGCGTAAGGACGGTTTAAAAAATGTACGAGTTTTTTGGCGGGAAAGCGATCTCGGGAACCAGACAAGATAGAGAACTGAAACTTTGTAGGGATATTCTCTGTGCAAGTGTAAGCTAAAAATTTCAAATTCTTCATCCAGGTTCCCGTGATTCTTATTTACGAGCATTTCGCGGAAAAACCGTTAGTTCGGTAACCAGAAAAGTTGGAACGCTGAAATTTTAGGATGATACTCCCTATTCACGTACAATTTCAATACTTCAAATTTAGCTCCCAGGTACTTATGATACTCGTGTGCAGGCACGTAAAATTTTCTGCAGGAAAATTACAAACTCGGGAACTGGAAAAACAGGAAGGCCGAAATTTTGTAGAAGTGTTCCCTGTCCAAGTACAACTTAAAGATTTCAAATTCAACCTTTAGGCGCGCGTAGTTCTCGCGTACGGGCAATTAGGGTTTTAGCAGGGAAATTGCTCACTGAACAGTTGAGTCATTTTTTTAAGGAACGACCGCTAAACGGAAATTGTTCACTTTCCTTTCTTTAAAATTTACAATAATTTACAGTCACGAAAAAATCAGATTACAGGTAACATCTCAACAAGGTTCGTGTAACCACAACTGATACAAGCAAACACCCAGTGTTGCTCGTGTATTGCTCGAGTAACACACAATTCCCATTGGTACGTGCCCACTTATACAAGTAACGGTCTTTTTTCGATGTAGTACTTGAGCATTTGCCGTTGGTTAATTGTACTGGTGAGCCATCACTGCACCAAGTTTAAGTAACGCCTGGAAGATTTCCGTGTAATATAGCCTGATTGCACGTTTAGGTACCGGGCAGCACGGGGGTAAGCTACAGCTTCGTACTGCGCGACAGCAGCCGCGCATCGTGCGACGGGACGGTTGTTTCATCGCGAACTCCGCTGCCGGTGATCTGTAGCAGAGTTCGACTTCTGGGGTGAAGGGGAGGTTGATTTTTAATCAGTTGTCTGTGGTTGCTTGGTCGTGTTGGACTGCTCCTGCATTGTTTTTGGGGGGCGCTTTTCTGTTGGTTTTCTGTAAGGATCGAGGTGGGGACGATGAAGTGGGGTTGTTACTGACTTATTCCGTTGGGAGAAGGGGGAGGGGCGGGGTTGCTGTTGATTAAGTAACTGCATTGCTGCCTGAGGCGGAAAGAGAATGAAAGGGACGGTTGATTGATTCCGACTAGTTTTGAGGGGAGGGATTTGTTGCTTCTTTTTTGGAGGGGCGGGGGTTATTATGTGCTAGCGCGTGTGAACGACGAAGGAATGTATTATTCCTTTTGTATAATGACACCATTTATGGCTTTTCAGTGCAACTTTCGTCTTCATTTTCTTACTTTTCCTTGATTTCTTCATTCACTTCACCAGCACGTCCGTTAATTAGATTACTGCTCGAGATGGAGGAGGGGTGGGGGTTGCTTGCTGCTGGATCTGCTTTGCGAGAAGGTTATTTGTTGTTGGTTTCTTCGTCGGTGATGTTTTGTGTATGTAATCCAAATGGTTCATGTAATGCGAATGATTGTTGAGATCATAGACGCTCGACAAAGCTGTGCTGCAGAAGAATCAGTCGATGGTACGTTTGTCAGTTCGGTGAGTAATGTTTGGTACTTTCCTTGATGGAGTTCATCTCTGTTACTTGCTGCAGCAGTATACGCCGTTACTCTTACGTCCTTGTTATCTGCGGGAATCACTAGGTGGGAGGTACTGCAACGAACGGCGAGATAGATGCTCTGCTGCAGCAGTATCTTGCAGATGGGCGAGAAAATGCTGGGTGTTCGGAATACATGCAGTATGAAGTAGGTTTACTGCCGACTTCGCATACCTCGACATTTAGCAGTTAATCGCGAAGATTGTAATTAGTCACAAGGCTGTTTAGGACATCCAGCGAACGACATGCTCCGCAGCGGAATTCACGCTGCAATCATTGGCACCGATTTGTGGGCAAATGAAGGGTGCAGTGAGGTGTGCTGGAATCATATGTGCATATCCAACAGTCTCACCGGTGGTCAAAGCAGGTTTTCGAGAACTAGCAGAAGTAACCAAATCGATGCTGGTTGCTTTGGCTGTGTAGGACTATCGCAACAAATGCACGGACCACTACATCAAATGACAGCAGCAAGAAGTCCGACTTTGCTGAAAAATTGAAGGTGACTTTTTTCTTGAATGAGTTACTTTCATACGTATTTGGTAGCTGTTGGAAATTTGTATATTCTGGCGAGCCACAAAATTTGACTTTATGAGGTTTCAGCAGGACTTGCAAAGATTTATTGTTGTAAGATTTTCAGGAATCAGTTAAGTGGATTTTTTCAGGTAAATGATGAATACCTGAGAGAAATAATAAAGTAGTCCTGGATTAGCAGTGCTAATTCAGGATTACATTTCCGTTCCCGTCTCGCAACCACAAATGGCAGCAGCAGCGCTTTTGTTGGAAAAAAAAATGATAGTGATTTTGTTTTATGGCAATTTTTTAAGTGCATAGAGCATTTGACATTTATCACAGTAATATGAAGTACAGAAAGCTGCGGTGGTCAGGGATGTAAGGGGAGTAGGGATAAAGCTAGGGAAAAGTGCGGATGTAGCCGGGAGCTGGTGCAGCGGCGGAGGTGACCGGGAGAGGGGGTACAGCTGAAGGAGGGGTGGGGTGGGATGTAGCCGATAGGGCCGGACAAGCTAACGCAAGCTGAAGGGCAGAGCGGAAGCGCTACAGCACGGGAGGGTGGGTCGACCTGTACAAATAACGAGCAGCGTCCTATATAAGCAACGAACAAAATCCCTTGCAGGTAACTAGCCTCTCTCGAGTGTGTAAATGGGACTCGCTACCGTACAGGTTACGGCATGTTACCTGTCATATGATTTTTTCGTGGTGGTGAGCGCACAAGGTAAGCATAAAGCAGTAACCATTTATGCAGTTAACGGCTTGTAAAAACGAATGATCGCAATGGCAAGCCTGGTGCATCCCAGCCTGGGTTTTTTCCTAGCGAAAGGTTGCTTTTCCTGAGAAATATGGTTTAATAGTTATCTTGCTAATCACTGTTTTATCATTTTGCTGATGAATAAATTGAACAGTTAGCTGCTTACAGGAAGAGCAGAAAATTTGGCGAGTGGAAGGAAGCGAGCGTCATTTTGTAATGTTCAGAACTGAATGAATTTTTTATTAAATTACTCTTACATATGGTTTTCTCGCATTTTTGAGAAAATCGCGTTACGAATACTCATTATTCAGCTGTCTCGCTGCGCGTTTGTTTTTTCAGTTGACAACTTCGTCAGTCACTGCACCGTTTTATAACGAGACTGCTTCTTGTTTTTAGCGGTTAAATACTCTTTTATTTCACCTCCAAATACCTTCTTTGGGTAGAAATGTTACACTGCAACTGAGTCATAAGATTTATCCCCAATCTAAGCCGTAATCCTGCTGTGATACTCACGTACTCCCCAGGCATTTTGAGCTAATAGACCCTTTGAAGCAATTTTAGATGAAAGTGTGGTCACTGCGTATTTCGCTTCTATTTTTGCTTAGTCAACTGTACCTGTTCGACATACGCTTTACTTCTTGGGCTGAATGGCTCTAAAATAAACCGCTGCCGGCATCGGGATTATTAGTGCGAACTTAAGCTTTGGCAAGATCGTGAAGCAACAATGTCATTAATAGTCAGAATGTTAATCGCTTCACAGCCTGACAAATTGCACTCATGCTAGGACTAACATTCATGCATTTTCGTTTGTTGGGGAAGGAGCCATTGCAATATAGAGTTAGAGTCATCAGCTAAGTCGGAGGTGTTGCGCTGTGGGATTGTGGCTTTCTAGTACATCTGCTAACCTGGAGGAGAGGACGTCGGTAGAATTGCAAACTGAACTTTGTCGTGCCAAGTAAGACGTGTGCGTGTGTAAACTTATTACGTTTGCAGGCCTGTACATGAACAGTGAGCATCCATGCAAAAGTAGAGCCTCTATTCAGTCTATTTCTCGATTTAAAGATTTTTCTTTGGGTCGCACAAAGGCAGGGAACGTATTCATGAAATTTTAACTTTCTAATTTAACTAGTTATCAAAATCGTTTTCTCGTCAAATATCTTTGACATACCCGTACGTGAGAACTATGAGAACACGAACGTTTTTTAATCTTTGGCTATCGGTACATAGTGACGGACAAAGTTGCCAAGAAAATTTTGGCTTCGTAGTTTTCATAGATCTGGAAATGAACACAAAAACAACTGTAACAACGTGTGTTTTTGTGCATCTGCGTATTTATGTAAATGCAGCCCAGGCTGGAATGCACCAGGCTAGCCGGTACGATCATGCTTTTTTGCTCAGCATTCCACGCAGGCTTCACTCAGAAGCGAGTGCATTTTGCAGCGAACAACCGCCCTCATCCTCTCCGAAAATCCAGTTTCAGTTCTTCAGTGAAAAATGAAAATGTTGCTAGAGCGGTCTTTCGTCCAAAAATCCAAATATTTAGATGAACTGGATGTTGGGAGAGAATGAGGATAGTCGTTCGCTGCAAGATGTACTCGTTTCTGAGTTTATGGTGAAGTTGAGTATTTCTCATACCCACCTGCAGAGAATTTCACTTACAGGCAGAATTAAGACCGCAGCAGAATATCACGTCGAAGTTTCAACCTCACACATTATCCCGTAAACGAAATAGCCACTTCGCTACAAATATTTTTGAAGTGCCTTAAGTTGTGACGCAAGTGCAGATCGGAACTCATTCTAGGTACACGATTTCTCATTAGACGATAAGTATCCTAAAAAGATTTCAGTCACTTTTTTCCGGCTAGTTTCCGAGTTAGCATAGTTCCAGGTGCAAAATTTGACGTGGCCCTACACGCTGCACAGGCGGGCGCAGTGGCTGAATTCGAAATCTTTCGCTTAAACCAGCACATAGAATATCCTTGCAAAGTTTCAGCTTTCTATCTTGCCTGGTTGCCAAAATCATTTCCGTCCAAAGAAATTTGCATATTTTTTTAGGGGGTCTGTACGAGTGATCTAGGCGCGTATGAAGGAAAATCTTAAAACGGGAGGGAGATTTATGGGGTGGGAACATGCCCCCGAAATTTCATTCCTGGTTGCAGAGTTGAAAGTGGGTGATAGTGAGTGACTTCAGAACACTCACAGACGGCATCTTGACAATATGCGTTTTTATGCGTTTTTTGCATCTATGCAATGCAAAAACGCATATTGTCGAGGGGTTG